CCAGGCGCGGTGGATGCGCCTGGGTAGTTGTTGTGTAAATAATGGGTCGCCGCGACGTCGAAGACGGCCGTCACTGACAAAAAACAATGTAGAATGAGCGACGGCCGGGTAGATGCGCAACTACCCGGCCACCATCCTTGTAAAGAATACAAAGTGGCGGACGCCGCTGGGGCGTTGCGCGGCAAGAAAATTCACCACAACACGTCGACGGCGGCGCTGCGCCGTCGCAGCCAGCGCGACCGCCCGCGGGCGGCGCGCCAGGCCTTCGCGGCTGAGCACCTCCCACGCTCGCGCAAACATCCCGCGCGCCCATGCCCGACTTGGCAGGCAAAACTCACATATTGCCGCCAGCGCAACCGCGCGGGGGCGGAAAAGTGCTGTTCATTGGCTGGCCGCATCGAGCTCGACGCCTGCACGGGTGGACCCAAACCAATGGACCCCAACATATACGCCTATAAGCGAACAAGCCTCGTCAAAAATAAGCACAAGATTTCTGAATTCGGTGATTGTGGGGTCAGCGCTACTCCAATGCTGTGACGGATTCCTGTTGACTCGGACACGGCGTTGCCCAAAAATCGACCCCGCCCTCTCAGCAATGAAGAACGCGCTTTCTAAGAAGTGCCCGAAAGCATCGTGCTCCAGGGTTTCAACTTCCATTTCTGAATATTTTTGACGAGGCTTGTAGTTCCCGCTCTCGTCCTCTTCCTTTCTGGTTGTTGCTATTGCCCTTTACGGTCATTGCTCCTGCCATTGCCCTTTAATTCGCTCGTGCTCCAGGAGGAGGACGAGGAGGAGGAGGAGGAGGAGGAGGAGGAGGAGGAGGAGGAGGAGGAGGAGGAGGAGGAGGAGGAGGAGGAGGAGGAGGAGGAGGAGGAGGAGGAGGAGGAGGAGGAGGGGGGATCACATTCAAGCGCAGACAGGAGAGTTAGAAGGGGGCGAAGCCAGACGCGACCCACATTTCCGGCCCTCGCATTCGAGGACACTGGACGCAACCTCGTGCGGGCCGTCAGTGCAGAGTTCACCGCCATGTTCCTCTTCGTATTCGTATGCGTCGGCTGTGCGCTGACCACGACTGGGGCCGCTCCTGGAGCGGGAAATGGGTCGGGTGCGACGGCGACTTTGACGATCTCCTTATGCTTCGGGTTCACGATCTTTGTACTGGCCCACTGTTTCGGGCACATCAGCGGAGCTCATGTAAACCCAGCCGTGACGATGGCACTGATGATCGGTAGGCAGGTACCTCTGTTAAAAGGCTGCCTGTACATCTGCGCTCAATTCATGGCATCTATCGTCTCATCTGGAATATTGATGGCGGTCATGGGTCTCAAGACCGAGACGATGGGCGGCTACAACGCGCTTACCGGCCCAGACGACAATAAGGTCGCGCGTGGGTTCATCCTCGAGATGGTGCTGACATTCGTCCTTGTCTTCACGGTCTACGCCACCATCGACCCCCACCGCGAGGCAACGGGACAAGGGCCCTTGGCGATTGGTGTGGCCGTCATGATCGCCCACTTCATCTAGGGCTGGGAAATCTGACGGAGGTGCGCCTCGCCCCCCTGTCCAGTGCCCCTTCAAATTTCCCCTCCTCTCTCCCTGGAGCTGCTTCCCCTTCTTTCTCACCACCCCGCCTGCTCATCCTTCCCCCGGCTACCCCTTATGTACTTTAATATCATCATGTGAGGTTCGGCCAGACTGTAAGAGAGTACCATCGCCCCCGCAGACACGGATTAGGAGTGAGGGGCTGCTCGGTGTTTGAAGTTGCCAACCAAGATAAAAACCCGCCGATGATGCCGTTCTGCAAAAGCACAATCTCAACTTACTATTGAAGTTCGCTGTTGGCGCCGATGGAAATACAGGAACAAGAGGGAGATGAGGGGACGAGGAGAAAAAGGAGGAGGTGGAGGAGAGGCGGGAGGAGGAGGAGGAGGACGAGGAGGAGGAGGAGGAGGAGGGGCAGATGGGAGAAAGAGGATGATGCTGATGATGATGCTGATTATGCTGATGATGATGATGATGATGATGATGATGATGATGATGATGATGATGATGCTGATGCTGATGCTGATGCTGATGCTGCTGCTGCTGCTGCTGCTGATGATGATGATGATGAGGAGGAGGAGGAGGAGAACATTGATAATGATGCTGATCATGATGATGAGGAGGATGAGGAGGCGCGAGGCTGAGGCGCTAGCGGGATCCGTGGGCCCGTTGGCAAAAGGAGATGCAGCGACCGCGCCATCTCCGACGGGGGGTGTCGCAAGCACTCCAACTGAAGCTCAACCGACAAGCGAGAACAGCGCGGGGAGCCAGCCGCCAGCCGCCAGCCGCGGTGCAGCTGAGTGGAGCGCGTGCTGCTGTGCCTGGACGGCAATGCGCAGCCGCTCCACCAGGGGAGGACTGTGGTCCAGGCCGTGCTTCTACGACGCACGGGCGAAAGCCTCGAAATGCATGCTTGAGACATCGGCCACCTCCGCGCCAGCCAACATATTCGCAGCCTCGACGCTTTGGGCACTCGCGTGGTGCAATCACAATGACACGTTGGCAAACTAGTATGACGTGCACACAATGAGAACCTACGACATGCGCAAGTCATTGAAGTGTGGGTGCTACGAAGCAAGTCTTGCTGGCGTAATGTTTCGCACGGCAAGGAGACACGTATGAGGCCTCACAACATTACATCTAAGCCTTAAGCCTTACTATTGCCAGGGCACGACGCACCTTTTGGGGTGAGGCTCGGGCACGCACGTTTCAGTTTGGCCTTTGTCTGGACGCTCTGCTCGCCCACAGCGCTGGCCTGCGCGGTGCACATCGCCCAAGCCTTGAAGTCGTCGCCGACGCCCGCCTTGCACTCGGCGTCTGCCTGGCGCTCGGCATCCGTCTCGTCCGGGCGCGCTGCCGCCTGGCTTTCGGCCTCTGGCGGTTTGGCTCCTCCTGGCCTTGGCGCAGCGAGCGGCCTCCTGGCGCTCGGCCTGGCATCCCGCATCCTCCGCAGCGCGGCAGGCGGCCGCCCGACGCTGGGCACCCGCCTCGACACGGCACGCGGCCGCCCGTCGCTCGGCCTCCGCGTGGAGCTCCTGGCGCTCGGCCTCCGCCCTGCAGCGAGCGGCCGCCTGGCGCTTGGCTCCTGCCCGGTACCCTCAGGGCGGCGCCTTCGGCTGGCGTTCGGCCTCCGCCGCCGCGCGGCCGTCGGGCACCCGGCGCTCGGCCTCCGCCCAGGGCACCCTGTGCAGGCTGCGCGGCTCTCCCGGGCCAGGCCAGCCCTGTCCGGAGTGCAGGCCCTGCGCGGCGCCACGTCATAGGGGCTGCTGTCGCCCTTGGGGCGCGAGGTCGGTACCCCGGCGCCTGCGACGGTGATGTCCACGGCGAAGGACGCGAGCTGCTGGATCTCCTCCACGAGCTGCCACACCCTGGGGACGAGCCACTCCGTTCCTGCACCTGGGCGACCGCCCCAGCACCAAGGCCACCTTGCATCCATGAGGGCCGCGCGAACGGAACTAGCGCTTGGCGTCCTCGACCTTGGAGACACCAGCGGGCGCTGCCTGAATGCCAACAGCACCTCGTCCAACTCGCCGATGACGTGGTGCCCCTCCGCGGGGCAGTTGTGCGCGCCGCAGTGCGCGTGCGAGGCCTCCACGACATGCCACCGCATCGCCTTCAGCCTTGTCGAGCGCTGCTTCACGCGCCGCCCGAAATGCCATGACCAACCACTTCTCTGCCGCCTCCCAGCCATTCGCATCCATGTGGAGAGGACCATCGTATGAGCGTGCGGTGGGCGGAAGTGCAAATTGACGAATCAGAACCGTGCAGCGAAACTACGAGAACAAACCTGGCAGGCGCCAGTCCGTTGAGCCGGATGACTACGGAAAGGAAGGATGATGGTGTGGATGATGATGATGATGCTGATGCTGCTGATGATGATGACGTTGATGATGCTGCTGTTGCTGATGATGATGGTGATGATAATGATCTCGCTGATGATGATGCCGACGATGACTACGATCGCGATGACAATGACGATGATGATGCTGCTGCTGATGAGTGTGATGATTCTGATGATGGTAATGATGAGTATGATGATAAGGATGATGACCACGATGATGATGGTGGTGGTGGTGATGATTATGCTGCCGATGATGGTTGTACTGATGCTTATATCTATGAAGATGACGACGACGATGATGATGGTGATAAGGCTGATGATGATGTTGATGAAACGGATGATGATGATGATGATGATGATGATGATGATGATGATGAGGATGATGAGGACGATGAGGATGATGATACTAATGGTGATGGTGATTCTGGTAATGACGAAACTGCTGATGATCATGGTACAGATGATGATGATGATGATGATGATGATGATGATGCTGATGATGATGATGATGATCATGCTGATGATGAGATGGTGATGATGACGATGACGATGATGATGCTGATGATGATGACGGTAGTGATGATGATGCTGTCGATGATGATTATATTGATGCTTATCATGATGATGACGACGCTGATGATGATAATGATGATGATGATAGTGATAAGGCTGATGATTATGATGATGTTGATGAGGTGGATGCCCATGATGATGATGCAAATGATGGTGATGGTGATGCTGATAATGGCGAAACTGCTGCTGATGATGCTGATGATGATGCTGATCACGATGATAATGATATTGTGATGATGATGACGATGACGATAATGCTGATGATGAAGATGATGACGATGCTGATACTGATGATAATGATGATGATGATGATGATGATGATGATGATGATGATGATGATGATGATGATGATGCTGATGATGATGATGATGATGATGATGTTGCTGCTGCTGATGATGATGATGATCGTAGTGGTGGTGGCGATGATGCTGATGCTGATGACGATGGTGATGATGATGCTGATGCAGATACTGATGATTCTTGTGATGGTGATGATGCTGATGATGCTGCTGCTGATGATGCTGCTGATGCTGATGATGCCAATGATGAGGATGATGATGCTGCTAATGATGCTGCTGATGATAATACTGATGATGTTGATGTTGATCAGGATGATGCTGCTGATGCTGATGATGATGGTAATGATGATGCGGCTGCTGCTGATGATGACGATGATGATGATGTTGTTGCTGATCATGATGATGTTGATGATGCTGGTGATGCTGATGCTGAAGATGGTGACGATGCTGACGCAGATGATGATGGTGATGAGGCGGATGTTGGTGATGATGCTCATAATGAGTGTGATGATGATGCTGATGCCGATGCTGATGCTGATGATGATGATGCCGATGAGGATGATGCTGATGATGACGATGACGATGAGGATGATGACGGTGATGATGATGATGACGATGATGATGATCATGATGATGATGATGATGATGATGATGATGATGATTATGCTGCTGCTGATGATAATGATGATGCTGATGCTGATGCTGATGATGATGATGATGATGATGATGATGATGATGATGATGATGATGATGATGATGATGGTGAACATGATGATGATGATGATGATGATGATGATGCTGATGATGATGATGATGGTGATGATGCTGCTGATGATGATGAGGATGAGGATGAGGATGATGATGATGATGATGATGATGATGATGATGATGATGATGATGATGATGACGAGGAGGGGAGGATGACGAGGAGGAGGAATATGGAATCTGGAATCTACCTTCGGGGCCTGTCTTCCTCATCTGTCCTGAAAAAGTTCGCCTTCCCCCTCCAGGGCCCTGGGCAAAGTCATCCAACTCATCACTTACTATTGCTACGGCGTGCTCGGGGCACGACCGCTCCCCCGTGAGAAGCTAGTTACCCCACCACACGTCACTCCTGGCCCTGGATTGCGGGTGCACGAACACAGTCCCGCGTTCCAGGGTCGTGGAGCGGCGAGGGCAGGGCAACAAACTCCCCACAGAGCAAATCTGCCCCTACCAGCGGGGCGTACCTCTTCCTTGGTCCCCCTCATTGCCCCTACGCGGTGGCACATGAGAGGGAGGGCGCATACGGGCTAGCAACTGTGCCGCTCTGACGCTCCCTGAATTCGCTAGGGCCTGAACTCCCGCGTACAACTCCTCATCTACTAGTGGGGGAGGAGGGGGAAAATTGGGAGCTGCTTCACTCCTCTCACTCCTACCTCGAACACTGCCCTCACTCTCTCCGTCTACCCGATGTGCGACTGGACCACCCTCGCGATGTCCCCGCGCGGCGCGGGTCCCACCTGGAACTCGGCGCCCTGCTTGCGCAGCACTGCTTTCAGCGCTGCACGCACCTCGATCGACGACCAGCAGCTGCTCCCGTCGGTCTTGGGCACTTGGGCGAACGGCTTCGGCGCTATCTTCAGCACGGCCTTGCCCTCTGCCTCGCTCTTTCCTGCGGCCGTGATCTTCGCCTTGCACGTGCCGGAGATCTCGCTCGTGTACAATTGTCCCTTCATGCACTCGGAGCAGCAGGCCTGTAGAACATGTTGGTATGTCGCATCTATGCCCTCGACCTTCACCGCTGCCTCGAGCATCGCCAACGCTATGTGCGGGAACGGAGACCTGAGGCCATGACCCTTCTTCTGACGCGAGACCTCCGCGTTGTAGCTCTGTCCCGACTCGACCATCGCACTCGGGATTGACTGGTTCTTGCCGATGAGACACGTGTCGAAGAGCACCCCGCCTATTTCTCTTACCTGGTAGTCCAGGGACATCGTGAGTCGTTGCACTGCTCGTAGTTCTTCTCTTACGCTGCCTGGCTCTCCACTGCCGTTCGACCCAGCTCCACGCCTCGCCCTCTGCGGTCTCGGTTCGCCTGCTGTCGCCGGCGGAGGAAGGCGCATCATGGCTCGAGCGGGCCTCCTGCTGCAACAGTCTCGGGAAGTCTGGAAGCGGCCCGAGATCGATGTGCAAGGGCTCGGGCATGCGTGTGGTGACGTGTTCGTAAAAAAATTGCCGATGCGGAGCCAGAACGTCACAGAACGGACACTTCAGTGCATTTGGGGCGGGCTCGACAACTGGATGATTCCATCCCGCTCGGTCAACCTTACGCTCACGGGTGTCCTCGATCGCGCGTACCACCGAGCCAGCGCACGAGTCTTGAACGAACTGCGGCACCACGGGCACTCGTTTGTGATGACGGCGAGCGAGACGGACGAGCGAAGCTGGTGTGCGTTCATCATGTGCGATACGAGCGCTGCATACTTAGGACTGGCGTACGTGCATGGCCCTGTATGTGTACACAACGTGCATCGCCACGGCTTGTCCTTCAACGCATCTAGGTCCGCAAAGGGGTCGAGCGGGTCGATGTTGGCCGTCTGGCCGCCGAGTCCAGGGGGGTGCGGTATGCGCACACTATGCCCTGCACTCCGAAGAACGTCGATATCGAACTGCACGAATTCCACCGCCGAGGGGCCTCTGAAGACGTCTAGAATGGATCCCAGCTGCCCCTACTGATACTCCGCCTCCTCGGTGGCCCCGACCACCTCCAGGTCCTTCTGGATTTGCCTAGCCCATGGGGTCGACGAGGTCCCCACCCACCCGCCTTCCAGACGATCGATGCCCAGGGAGAGGTCCAGGGAGCTGTTACCGAACACCGCCGCTAAGAACTGGGCCCCGTTGACTGGTGATTTTGCCAATGACTGGTACAATTTCAAACGTCGGACTCTAAGCGTTTGGGAACAGGGGAGGATCTGCCATCTCGAGAGGACCTCTAGAGTGCTCAGGTTCTGCTAGTGCTCGGGGCCCTCGTGCGCAACTCCCCCACTCATGCTTCTACACAACTTAGCCAGAGTGTGCCTGGGTTCCAGAACCAAGGCCTCGAGGGCCGACATACAAGCATTCTGGACGTATGCAAGAAACAAGCAGCGCTTCACACGAGATGGTTTTTTTTGTGCCAAGCCTTGCCCAGTCTGTGCCATCCTGTATGCGCAGCTCGTACTCGGAGCTCCACTTCAGCACTGACCGAGCCGTCCGCACTCAGGTAGGGGCCCAGCACGCGCATCAGCTGGGTCGGGCGGGCAAGTAAACTGCTCGAAGCTGACAAGGCCCGCTGTTCTGACGCGGCCCCTTCACCCCACAACTGTACCAGGGTGTTCTCCTTCGCCGAATTCGGTGAGTGTCCACTCTGTCGACTGTGTCGTGCAAGCTGTTCGCCTCGTAGAGCCACTCGAGCTTCCGTGCGGTGGGCCGACGGCTTTCATGGAAGAACGTGCACTTTGGTAACGTCGTCCACGAATGTCGCCACTGAAATGTCGCATACCCTTCCAGTCACTGGGCACACCGTCAAATGCCATCGTTCCTCTGGCGACTCGGTCCTGATCTGCTCTAGCCACTCGGCCGCGCCTGGGTTGTAGCACGTGGTGAAGTCCCGTGGCCCAAGCGTGTACCCCATGCAGCTGCCTATCCGTGGCCAGAAAGAGAGCCCTTCGCCCACATTCGTGTACAGCGTCGTCTCGTCTATGATCCTTCTGTGCCACCGTCGGTCTGACTCAAGATAGTGTTGGCAACCGCGGGCATGCAAGCATGATCTCGTTGTGCATCCAAACGCGTTCACCCCGTCGTAATTTGATGTAGCTGTCGAAATGCCACTCTCGTTCATCCGCCATCTCAAACACTCTATCGTCGCAACGGCTGCTTCTCGTCGTCGGTGCGGGAGCCCGCCTTGGGCCCACTCAGGCATGTCAACTGACCTCTCCGTACGTCTCCTCATCACACTTGCGTTGATACCCATCGATGCCGAATCAAATACGTGTAAGATCCTCTGGCCCGCGATCCCCTCCTTGCCGTTTGCCTTGTCCGCCGCGTACGCGTTGGACTTGAGGAAGACCAGGGGGGTCGCGTCTCTCAGCCTCATGTGTATAAGGCAGTCCTACAGCGCCTGCTCAAACTCCTCGGGGATCTGTGGCTCGACGTCTGCCCCCCAAGCCCCCACCAGTAGGCTTGCCGTGCCGTAGCGGGTGGAGGCAGATCGCCCAGAACTCCATGGTAGGCCCCATGGGGGGAACGCTCTGCGCTTTGGTGCCTTCAGCGCATATCCCCCCAGCTGCCTACGATAACGCATAGCACGCCTGCGAGCTTCATCGTACGGTACTGCTCGTTCTTGGTTGATCTCTCGTCGCCGCTCGCGTACATGCTCAGGCCAATTGTGTATCTTCTCGCATCCCAATCCTCCTTCCGTCGGGGGCCGCTGCAATCCTGTCCTCCAGTCGTCCTCATGCATGGTGGCCCTCGCGCTGAAGTAGTTGCGCTTCTTGGGCCCGTGGCCGTTCCCCGACAGGAGCACTCTCAGTCGGTGCACTTCGGCAAGGTCTCGTTGTTGCCATGCTTCACGCAGTGCCTCGCTGATTTCTCTCTATCGCGCTGCACTATGTGCCTTCCGTAGTCTTTTCATCTCAGTACTAATCACTACCAGCCGATCCTTGATACAGACCAGCCTTTCGCAAGCTTCTGCAGGGTCCAGCTCACGTTTCAGTGTTAGGCGCTCTTCCAGTAGTTTCATCCGTTGGTCTCGTAGCTGAATGTAGTAATGATCGCGCCCATCCTGCGTCGGGAAGGCGTCTTCGAGTACACTCGACATAGCTTTCTGTAAACACTCCCATTCCCCGTCGACGTCCTCCCGAGCGTATTTCTCCTGTAGCTCGTTCAGTAATCCCGTTGCAGTGCTCTCCACTTTCTCCAAGAATTCCTTTCGCAACTAACTTCGTGTCCAGCATATCATGAGCTTGTCCCGATCCATTTTCTTTCGTGGCTGGCGGTGCGGATCAGTAAGTGCTCGATCTTGAGCCCTTATACTTATTGGCCTGTGATTCCCAAACTACTCTCTCTTACGAACTTGCACTTCCCGTGCGAGATAAACATCGATACACCATCGGTGTATAATGGACATTGCCCCTGACGGTATGATCCAGTGGTCTATCTTGCTCTGGCCGTAGAACCCTACGTAGGTGTTGTCTATGGGGTAGAACGACGTGCCGACCGACAGGTGCTGTCCTGTCGCAGAACCCTCTAACTTTGGTTGTCGTGTCGTTCTCGATGCCTGGGAATGCCACTCCGACTTCTTCGGTCTCATGAACCAGCTGGCCTCCAGTGGTCTTCTGAATCCCGAACTGGTCGTTGTTATCCCCAACTATGAGCGGCATAGTACGGGTTCCCAAGCGCCTCAGAATGCCTTCTAGGTACTTCAGGATACATAAGGTCGTGTTGTTTCGCTGTGCCCCAGGACCTCGGGGGGAAGTATGTGCTAACGATCAGGTAGTCTTGCCCCCCTTGTCGTACTCTTAGTGCTCCTACTCTGCCGTACATCTGGCTGCTGGGCGGGGGCTCGTAGATCTTCGTGATGTACCGTGCTCTAAGACGTCGACCCAATAGAAATGATATTCCACAGCTCCTGTTCGAGTGTGTCCCCCTTGCCCATCCAAACCTGACTTCAGTATGGTCCCGATGTCGAAAGAATGTCGGTCCCTGTTCCACTCGGTGGCATTGGGTCCCCACAAGCACCGCCATATCGTAAAATCTGAACGCCCTCGATATCAATGATGCACGATCATCGCGTAAACTCTGAACATTGAAGCCCACTGCCTTTAGAACTCGAGAGGCCATCACGCGCGCGGGCCCGTGCCGTAGCTATTGGGAGGGGAGCGGGCTCGGGCTGCTCTTGGCGGTCGCGTAGGCGTCAGCGCTGTAGCCAGCCTGGGCCGACGCTTGGACGACGAGGCGGAGGAGGAGGAGAAGGAGTTGGGAGAAGGAGGAGGAGAAGGAGGGATAGGATACGGTGGACGAGGAGCAAAAGGAGGAGGAGGAGGAGGAGGAGGAGGAGGAGGATGAGGGAGGAGGAGGAGCGGAGGAGGAGGAGGAGCAGGAGGAGGAGGAGCAGGAGGAGGAGGAGGAGGGGGGGGAGGGGGGAGGACGAGGAAAATCTAATAGGCCGAAGCCTGGGTGGGTAACAGGAGTTTGCCTCTCCAAGAAAACGATGTTTATATAGTCAGGTAGGTTAGGCTTTTGTGCCAAGTTCGGTGGATGAGCCCCCTCAGAAGCAAAGCAGATGCTGAAAAGGACAGTCTCAGGCCCCCCCCACTGGCACGGGGATGAAAGCATCCAAGAGATTGCTGCATGGCCTGAAGTCCAACTTATTCCTTGCCTGGCCTGCGGGCCAGCTTGCCTATTCAAGAGGGCAGGTTGCTGCCCGCTGTGGCCTGCCGGCAGATTGCATCAGATGGTCGGCGTTTTTGCGAAGGCCTGGGGCGCAGGGATCATCCTTGAATTGCTGGTAGCTGGTAACTGGAGGAGTAGGGGGATGAAACAAAATGATGATGAGGACGAAGACGACGACGACAGGAGTGAATCAGAAGCCCTCTCAGATGCCTTTCTGGGAGTCTCTTGGAGCAATTCTAGAGCACTGTTAGGCTCCTCCTTCGGAGCTCTCTTGGAGGCCATGGGGGGCCTCTGGTGCCATCTTCGAGGGCATCGATCAAATGATGGGGATGTCTCTGGTCAGGGTTGCCCCTCTTTGCCCCGAAAACTCGCTTCGTGGGACCGTCCGCTCTTGGGGCGCCCTTGGGCGCTCGAGGGCCGTCCTTGGAGCCCTCGTGGGCACCTCGTGGGGGCCTTTCTGGCTGTCTTGGAGCCATCTTGACGTCTCAGGAACTCATCGGAAGCGGCACGGCGAGAGGCCACAGCTCATTGCTTTGCTTAGGTTTTGGAAGGGCCTGGCCGTTTGGGGGCACCCTTGGAGGGCTCCGTGGCTTCTGGAGTCGCCTGGGAGCGGTCTGGGTGCTCCTTGGAGGCATGCTGGATGCTGCCTTGAGCCATCTGGGGATATCTTGTGTCTTCTTGGATTCCACCTGGCACTTTCGTGAGCCCTCTTGGAGCCATCCTGGGCCAAGACGGTCCTCTGACACCTTCCCCACCCCGCCGTCCAGACCCCAGGGGAGGGGGTGGGGGAGGGGTCAGGCTACCCACAAGCAACTAGCCGTCTCGCTCATTCCGACCCGCCCTCCCAACACATAAGTAGCATCCGAGTCTCAAGTAGCATCCGAGTCTCAGCATGGACAGAGGCCGCCATCGATAACCATCGGGAACCAGTGCAGAGGCCAGCCAGGTGCGCGAAGCCCGAGAAGTGCTCCGTGCATGCCAGCTGCGCCACGCGCACCAGGTGCGCCACATTGGGCAATCTGTCGACCCTCCCACCGTCCCTCTCAAAAACCATATGCAAAGTGACGGCGAGTTTGTTGTGTTCCGGTGTGCATCCACGATCGCTTTGCGTTTGCTTGGTGGGCCTGGGCACAGCAGGCAGTATACCACCCCCCCGCCGTCTCGGGCAAAATGAACTAGTTTTTTCCTTTCGACAGGGATGGTGGGCCTGCACGCAGCCGGCAGTGTGCTCACACGCCATCCTCGTCAGAAACCAAGGCAGCGTGAGCGCCTGGCGTCCGCGCATGGTCCAGATTTTGGTGCAAAGTTCATGCTCTACTGCTTTCGGCAAG